ACTTGAAGGTCGTTCACAACAACCTGTATTTGCTAGAGACCTCTTCCTTGCTGGACTACGAGGGCACCAGCGAATTCAGCTTCCAGATTGTCGCCTCTGATTCCGGCAAGCCCCGCTTGAGCCAGACTTCCCTGGTACGGGTCAGACTGGAGGATGAAAACGACAACCGTCCGGTGTTCAGCCCGCCTGTCATCGAGGTGTCCGTTTCCGAAAACAACCCATCTGGCCTGTCCTTAACGACGATTAGCGCCACCGATGAAGACAGTGGGAAAAATGGCGACGTTGTGTACCAGCTTGGCCCTAACGCCTCCTTGTTCGGGCTGGACCGGAAGACGGGCGTTTTGACCGCCGTCGGCATTTTCAACCGGGAGGAGCAAGAACGGTTCGTTTTCACTGTCACAGCGCGGGACAGAGGCACCCCCCCGCTGCAGGGTCAGGCGTCTGTCGTGGTGACGGTGCTGGATGAAAACGACAACAGTCCCAAGTTCACGCAGAATCCGTTTCAGTTTTTCGTACCGGAGAACTTACCACAGTGGAGCACGGTGGGCGTGGTCACCGTGACCGATGCAGATGCCGGGGAAAACAAAGCAGTGACCCTTTCCCTCCTGAATGAGGAGGAGAACTTTGTGCTGGACCCGTTCTCTGGCGCGATCCAGTCCCACGTCTCTTTTGATCGAGAGCAGCAGGGCGCGTACACGCTGGATGTCAAGGCCGTGGACGGAGGACAGCCTCCTCGCTCTGCGACAGCCAAAGTAACGATCCAGGTGACAGATGTGAACGATAACAGCCCCGTGGTCATCTACCCACCTTCTAATTCTTCTTTTGCGTGGGTGCCGCTGTCAGCCGCCCCCGGCTCCGTCGTAGCCGAAGTATTTGCTGTGGATAGAGACACTGGCAGGAACGCTGAACTTCAGTACGCCATCGCAAGTGGAAATAACAAAGGGTTGTTTCGGATTGATCCACTGACAGGTAATATCACCCTGGCAGAAAAACCAGCTCCTGCTGATGTGGGGCTGCATTGTCTAGCGGTCAACGTAAGTGACTCAGGCGAGCCTAGAGCCTTGCATACGCTTGCGCTGGTGTTTTTGTATGTAAACGACACTGCTGAAAACGCCGTTTATATTTATGACTTGATACGGAGGACTATGAGAACACCCTTGGACCGGGACGTAGGGGACAGTAGCCAACCCCATCAAAACGAGGACTCTCTTACTCTCGTGATTGCTATCGCGGCGTGTGCGATGGTGGTCCTAGTGGTGATCTTTGTCGCGTTTCTCGTTCACTGCCAATATGTATCCAGGTTCAGAGCGGCACGCCGGAGCCAGCAGGGTGCCACGGGGCCGGCTGCCAGTCAGGAGAACAAACAGAGCAAGAGAAAGGAAAGTTCGCTTTGGAACTTCGTTCCCGTCGAGGACGCGACACCTGACACTGCTGCTCGTGAACCTGTCAACATGACAATAACCCTTCCGGCTGAGCTGGGGGAGCAAGGGATAGGAAGGTCTGACGGGGGCACCGCCCCACCCACCACCGTTAAGCCGAGCAGTCCTGACCTTGCTAAGCATTACAGATCCACCTCGCTGCAGTCTGCCTTTCAGCTTCAGCCTGGCACGCCAGCGTCCGTGAGAAAGCACCATGTGGTTCAAGAGCTTCCACCGGACAACACTTTTGTTGGTGATTGTGACACCCTTTTCAACACTATTCAGCTAGTTCCCGTGCCTCCGAGTGCAATTCCCAAGGAGGCTTCAAGAGAAAGGGCCCCTTGCACACCAGACGAGTAATTGAGCACTTGTGCTGGTCTAGAAGTAATGCCTACAAGGGCCAGTCAACCAGCATTCAAGTGCCAGTGTGTCCTTTGTTCAGGTCTACTTTTAGCTTCGTTATAATATGGAGAGAGGGAGAAAACGACCCCTTTCCCATCTGTCTGGAGACTTGTAAAACGCCCCTGATATGTCACAGCTTTAAGAGTCGCTGATTATTAGAAAGATCTACATGTTCACATGCACACACACGCATGCACACACACCTGTATATGTGTGTAGATAAACAACAGATCAAAACGGAAAATAAAGGGTTAAAAGCCAAATTGTTTTCCCAAAGTGTGTCCCACTGTAAAGGTAACTAAAGAAGAAAAACTGTATTTCATAATACGCCAAATTTTACCCCAAGAGAAAATGTTTTGAGAAAATCTGTTTCAGGATTAATGTGTTACTGTAGGAATATGTCAATTCTTTTTTTTTTTTAATTCCTAGTGAGGCTGATTTGAGGGGTATTTTAAAAATATTTCAAACGAATGTGGAATATTGTTAAGTTACTGTTGTTAAAGGGGTTCTTATTTTTCACTTACAAAGACAGCAGAATGCCCAAGGAACTTCAGCAAGCATATGGTTTGTTGGTAGGATATCACAAGGCCATAAGGAAGTCTTCCTCTATTTGGATTTACAATGATTGTGTTGTTATAGAGAAAAGAACAATTGTTTTGCATATTTTCAAAAATGGCCAGAGTATCCTTTTGAAAGGAATGCACCTGTTCTAAGCAGAGCTGAGTGATGCAGGAAAGCATTAGCTCGTTGTAAATATTTTCTCATCTTTGTTATGCATAAGTGATCTGTCGTACCTCCTTTTAAACTGTGAAATATGCCATATGAAGAGAGGCTGAGACACTCATATTTCAGCATTAGTTTGTCTTAGGGCTAATAATTGCTTGCTAATAAAGATTTAAGTGCAGCGCTGTCTAATTTATGTCATTGATGCTTGTCTTTTGCCACTGAGAGCAGGGGACCGGGTTAGTGAGCTCCTGAGGGTCACTCCCCCCCCTCCAGACACTGCTGCAGTGCCCAGGGAAACCCCAGAACAGCACAGGGCAGCAAGAATCACATGCAGCACAGCAAAGTGAACCGAGTGACCACGAAACAGAGCGGACGTGGTGGCTGCAGGAGTGAATTCAGTCCCCGCTCCATCACAAAGTCCATGTGGTGGGTGTGGGCCAAGAGGGTCGGAGTGCAGGGGTGGCTCGGGGCCGGGGCAGAGGATTGGGGTGCAGGGCAAGGTGGGCACCCTCTCCTGGAGGTGTGGGCCTGGGGGTGAGGACTCAGGGCCGGGGCAGAGGATCGGGACGCTGGTGGGGGCAGAGCCTATGGGATGGGTTGAGGGATTTGGGGTAACAGAGGGTGCTCCGGGGGTACTGCAAGGAGAGAGGATCCCCCCTCCCCCGTGTTCTCTCCTAGCTCCTGCGCTGGGAGGGGCACCTCTCCCTGGCGTGGTAGCTCCAGGGATGGGCCGCTTCAGGGGGGAGGCCGGGGCAGGACGTGCTGCGGCAGAAGGACTGGGGACCGGACAGGCTGTGTGGAGTCAGGGCTGGGGCAGGGCTGAGACAGGCTGCAGCAGGACCAGGGCAGGGTCAGCCAACCCGTCCCAGGGCAGGGGAGGGGTCCGGCACAGTGACCCGCGTGGGCAGGGCTGGGGGGGGGCGGGAG